GTGTGCGTGTGTGCGTGTGCGTGTGTGTGTATGTATGTGTGTGTGAATGTGTGTGTGTGTGTGTGTGTATGTGAATGTGTGTGTATATGTGTGTGTGTGTGTGAGTGTGTGTGTGTGTATGTGTGCATGTGCATGTGTGCATATGTGGGTGTATATGTGTGTGTGTGTGTATGTGTGTGTGTGTGTATGTATGTATGTGTGTGTGAATGTGTGTGTGTGTGTGTGTATGTGTGTATATGTGTACATATGTGTGTGTGTGCATATGTGTGTGTGTGTATGTGTGTGTGTGTGTGTGTGTGTGTGTGTGTGTGTGTGTGTGTGTGTGTATGTATGTATGTGTGTGAATGTGTATGTGTGTGTGTGTGTGTATACGTGTGCGTGTGTGCGTGTGCGTGTGCGTGTGTGTGTGTGTGTGTGACCTGGATCAGGTACAGGTTTCATGCAGTGCGTGTTGTGTGCTCTTGTATTTAATGGTAATATAAATTAGATAACAAATAGACGATAATAACTTAGTGCTTAATGTGCAGATTAAGACCCAACATCTTTTTGGGAACACTTCTAATAATGTAGTTGTGATTAAAGATGCTGTCAGGATGGATACTTGTTTCTCAAGGTGAAGCCCATGCTGTGGTTTCAGAGAACAGCGAGCACAAACCTGTGAAAGCTTTAGAAGCCGTGAGATCAAGTGTGAACTCTGCAGACCTGTGAACAACCTACAAATCATACTTCTGTTTAAAGAGGAACTCTACGGATGATCCGTCAACTTTAACATTAAAACTACTGCTTCAAATTATACAAATGTTTCCGTTGGATTTGAAGGTTTAAGTTTGGAGTTAAAAAAACGTCCCAAACATTTGTAGATGTCGGCAGGGTTAGACATTAAGGGTAAAAAGGGTCATTTCATTCTCACTGGCCCCACCATTGTAACCACTGGCCCGAGAGCATTCGTCCACAAAAATCAACTCTAATAATGAAGAAAATTAACACCTCAATTGTTCATATTTGGTTTATTATAATAATTATATTGTTAAAGAAAAAAAGGAGGGTGACATTTCTGCTATGAGTATTATTTTTGTATAATGCACTTTCTGCCGTCCTGTCATTAGGAGATAGAAATGTAATGGCTATGTAATAGATTAGATTAGATTCTTCATTATCCTAAACTGCTGGGACATTTCCCTAAAGCCAATACCTTTATATTGTCTACTCTTCACTTACTTGTCAGCATAGGTCGGCATTGATGTACAGAGCCGACAGAAGACCGTGTTTATATTGGCATCGTATTGAAGCCGACTCCATCGATCAAGCTGGCTGAAACTCTCTCTCCCTCTTCTTCTCATACTCCCTGTCACTCTCCTTTAACTCCTCCGGTGACATTCTTTTATTGAACATTGTTTTTTGCCGGTTACCGCTGGTATTAAAAACATTTTGGTGAATGGTTAGGTGGCGCGAAAGTCTCTGCTTTTCATCCAACAACGACAACCGCCTCACAAAACGCTATGTTGTATAGGGCTGAACGATTAATCGATTTGAAATCAAAATCCGGCGATTTTTTTTAAAACTTTTTTTTTGTAATTCTTTTTTTTGTTCTTCTTGTGTGTCAGCCATGCGGTGAGTGTTGTGTGCTTGTGTATTTAAGGTCATATAAATCACACCAATCAGAAGTGCTGTGCTCCACATGTACCAGCCATTGTTAACCAATGAGAAGTGGCCCATGATAGAAGGTGATAGACAGATTGATCCAAGTGCTTCTGAAAGTGCCTGCCCTTTCCAAATGGCTTCCAATGGAGCTTTAGATGGTTCGGTGAAACAACCATCTGGGTCAGGTTAGCGATGCTCCATCACATGTTTCTATCACAGCGTGAATCTTAAACTGAAGCTTGACTTTAAAGCAACCCAACGGAAGTTACATGTAAGTTTAGTTCTTTCACTCGTAGCTCGGGCTGCGGGGGTGCTAGAGACGGGAGCACGTTGATGCGACCTTCCTAGCTGGAGATATGGCCGCATTTTACAATAAACTTCCGTTGGGTCGCTTAAAAACAAATATCCAGAATCGAATCGCAATATCTGTCAAATCGCAATTAGATAATTTCCCCAAATCGTGCAGCCTTAATGTTGTAGCGTTAATAAACGAATCAATTTAACTAAATTGCTTGTCAAAATACCAATACCACAGGACAATGTGATTTTATGGGCGGTGTCTTCCGGGCCAGCGGGCCATTTGCAATGTCGAGCCCTGATGTTGGTCAGTTTCATACGCCACAATCAAGCTGCAGAGAATAACCTGAAACACTTCCTGTCACGTACTTAGAGCTTCAAACTAAAATGACGAACAGCAGAAAGGAGCATTTACAGGAATGAACCGTCATTGAACCAGGAAGCATTTCTAATTTCACCTTTTTATATTTTCATGATATTTGAGTAAGAAGTCTTACGTTGACCGTTTGTCTTGATCATTTCAGAATCAAGTTATGAATGTGTTAATGTCTCTTATTTTTAACACTAAAACGGTTTTCATTCTAAAAATCGAGGCTGTTTTTTTTTCATTTCATTTCAAACCTTTATTTATACAGATAAATCCCATTGAGATCATTGATCTCTTTTTCAAGGGAGACCTGCTCAAGTAGTTCCACATGAAACATAAATAGAACAACAAAAGGACATCATACAGCATCATTTAGAGAATTATCCACATAAACAGGTACCAATAGCTTCCGATTGAGTAGCATCCAACCGAGCTTTAAAAACATTTAGTGGCACCAGATTGTTCAGTTTCCAAAAGTTTTTAAATCGCTTTTACATTTCTAATGAAGAAAAACACACTTTTCTGCAGATGTTTTCAAAATAAAACTCCCCTATCAACTTGAGGAGCATAATAACTGATTTTCCTTTGATGCTTTTATTGTGAAAGAACATATTGTATTTGTGTTATTTCAAATAAAAATAAGGAAAGTGTTGTTGGGAAATCTGCATTGAACTGAATCTACCATGTGAGATATTATAGTGCAGGTAGTCACGCGTGACCTGGCTGTAATTTGCACGATAAATAGTTCATAGCATCACAGTAAATAAGTAAATAAATAATCAAGTTAAAAAATAATTTAAAGGTTTGAGGGGATGAAGGATTTTGAAGAGGGATTTGTCTTAAGAGCAGGTATTACCTGGAAGGAGAGTTTGGCCGGAGAGCGAGGAGCGATGGGGCTCAGGGTGCTCCAGAAGTGGATGGTGGAGGGAAGAGGACTGGGAGTCAACAGGACCGGAGTCTGAATACACACACACATTAGAACAACAGGAAAAACACTGCAAAGCTTAGGTGCGTTTAATTTCAATATATGAAGACTTTTTGTGACACACACACACACACACACACACACACACACACACACACACACACACACACACACACACACACACACACACACACACACACACACACACACACACACACACACACACACACACACACACACACACACACACACACACACACACACACACACACAGTGTTTACCAGACAGTGGGAGGTGATGACAGACGGGGTGAGTGTGTTGGTCGCAGATCCAGGAGCCAATAAGCTGTTAACAGCTGCGTTCACCTGCAGAGGGAAACAGGAAGTGATCTCACAGGCTCTACCTTTCTACCTGCTTGACCTAAATCCTAGAAGCTAATATACATTTATTGGCCAATAACAACTCACTGTACACTTGTATTACGTATATATAAAACCCTATGTTTAGTAATAGGTTGTTTTATTATAGTGTATTCCAAGTTATTCTTTTGAATGTGTGTTTGGTGCGTGATCATTATTCTTTAGAGTCATTGCGTGCCTATTGATTTGAACACGATCCGTGTATCCATCATTTCCTGGTCTTCTCTAAAGAAGAGGGACCAATGGAAACGTTGTCATGTTGCCGTTGTTCAGCATGGAAACATTCATTAGCTAACAATGACATTATTGTTCTATTAATATAAAGGGAGGTCAGGTACTCTTTAAAACAGCTGCTAGTTATGGGTACTTTTTGCTGAAGTACACTTCAAAGCCTCTTTACTTTGACTTGAGTAAAGAAGTTTAGTCAGTACTTCTACTTTCACCAGAGTATTTTTAAACACGAGTATCTGTACTTCTACTTGAGTAAAGGATGTGTGTACTTTTGCCATCTCTGTGTGTTTATATGTCAAGTGTTTCGTGCAAACCTTATCCAGGGAGAGGCCGGGGGGGAGGGAGGGGGAGGAGGGCAGCTCGAGGCCTCGGGGCTTCTTTGGTTTTGGAGGAACAGCGTCTGAAGTCACATGAGGAGTCATCGCTGAGAAGGGGGTCACCGGGGGGGCGGAGGGACAGAAACATCTCACTGTGAAAGCATGATTTTTTATTTTTTTATCTTAAGACACAAACATGGACATAACATATAGGAGATGACATTCCCATCTCAGACAAAAACAAAACAACAAAAGCAGAAGAAATAAAGATACAGTCAGTAGGACCACTTCAACATTTCACAAACAAAAATAAATTGACAACCAAAAACACAACATGGCATATTTATAGTTCCTTTAATCCCACTCTTCGTTAGAGCTCATTATTTCCCACGTCATGGCGTGTTGATTTTTTGTGGCAATAATCTTTTCCAAATGAAATTGTATTTTGAATCTACTCTTCAAACACTTTACATTAAGATTACTCCTTGATTGACTTTTAAAAATATGTATTTTAGCCAGAAGAATAGTTGTGTTTATTAACTGTGTGCTGTCTTCATCTAAAAAGCCCAAATAAAATATGAAAGGGTGTAAATTCAATATTGAGTGTCTTCAGCCAATTTTGAGTCTAAAGGCCCCGACACACCAAACTGACACCAAAGAACACGTCCCGACGGACCCGACTGTTGTGTCGCCTCACGTCTCCTGCGTCTTGCAATAACTCTCCTTACCAGCAGGCGGCGGTAGTGTGTATTCGTCATTCAAAAGAGGCAACCGGAAGACAGACTGCGTGATATATACACACAACAAATAGCGTGCGTTCCATTTTCGCTCTCGTCCATCACAGACTGTTTCACATCACCACTTATAATCGAAAACATGTTTAGTGCGGTACTGGAAAATGAAAAATAGCCATCTGTGTGCCTTCTTCACTTCCGTTTCGCTTCTCATGCACTGATTCGCTAAGCTGAACAGCCAATCAGAGTGATTTATTTTTCCGACAGCCCGGCACGGCCGAAAAGACACGACGAGGCGGGACACACCAATCTGAGTAGGGCGACAGGACGCTCATCGACGGCCGAAATCGGCTCGGTGTGTCAGGGCCTTAAGACCACAGACTTGATAAATAAATGCATCTGTTCTTCCTCTTCCTCTTCCTCATCACAGAATCTACATAATGGTGATGGTTCAATGAAAGCCTCGGTACATTCTCTCTTTGTGAGAAACTCCTCGGTGAGAACAGTTTCCCGTTACCTGTTAGCGTGTCCTTGCCCTCGCCTGCAGGCTGCTGACCTCCGACCCCCGGCTCCATGCAGGGGGGGGGGGGGCTCTCCACGATGGTGATGGGGGGCTCTAGTTCCCTCGAGCGACAGGTCAGCTGAGGGACCTGGAGGAGGAGCAGAGAGACGAACAGGTCATCAGTCTGAGGAACGAGACAGCAGACATCTGGACTCTCTGTGATGCCTGTGATCTTTTTGTTCGTTTTTACAATCACAAAATGATCAAATATGAAGAAAATCTAAATATGAGACTATAAGATTAGACTAGATAGACTATGAGACTAATATGAGAGTATAGCCAGGGGTGCACATAACTTTTTTTCCCTGGTTCTCAAAGGAGCACCTGCAGATGTTGCTTGGTGCTCATCCTTAAAATGAAATAAACCGTAACTTTTGAGGGGGTCTTTATTTGCCAGACACACGGCACTGAACACACAAGCAGAGGTGAACACAGAACACACATGCAGAGGTGAACACAGAACACACATGCAGAGGTGAACACAGAACACACATGCAGAGGTGAACACAGAACACACATGCAGAGGTGAACACAGAACACACATGCAGAGGTGAACACAAGACAACATTAGCACGAGCAGTAATCCTACAAGCTGTCATCACTACCCTCCTGACTGTTCTCCTCACTGTCTTCCTCTCTGTCAGACATGGTAGCTGATGATGTAGGCCTACTTCTTTCTCTCTGGTTGAGTCTGCGATTAGATGCTTGCATCCACAAGTCAACAGCTGGGTTTGGGTCGAAAGTCTCTGTTGTCATCTTAGACAAGTGGATGTAATCAAATAAGTATGTGAACATAACCAATAACCTACCATAGCCAATAACAAATGAATGTAACTTATTTTACCTTAAAGGTTGGGTAGGTAAGTTTCAGAAACTGGCTCGAGTGCACTAACATTTGAAAGTACACAGCCGAAAATAATCCGCCCCTTCCTTACAGAGCACCTCCTCCAACACACATGAACGCGCAATGCACGCCCAATGATGGCACGAGATACATTTGTGCCTGCACGAGATGGAAGGCTGACAGGCAGGGCGGCAATCCAATCCGTTTAGCCGGGCCAGCTAAACTTGGTCGTGCTTTTTACAGCGCCACGGCTTCCACAGATGACATTTTTTAATGGATTTTTTGTCAAAGCACTTCAGATATTCATTGCTATCGGGATGTTAAGAGCATTCCATGGAATATAACAAGTGTATCTCGAGCCGGTTTCTCAAACTTACATATAACAAAAAACAAAGGATAACAAAAAATAAATGCATAAATAAATAAATGTTAAAGGTGAGGTAGCCCACCTTTAACATTTATTTATTTATGCATTTATTTTTTGTTATCTCTCCAGTTTTAAAGGATATGTTTGGTTACTGTCCTATAGTATACATTGGAATGATTTCAAACCTGTTTATCCCAATAATTATAAAGGAGTGCCTTGGAAATATGTGTTTACATAAATTGTGACCAAACCGTTTGAACTTAGACTAAAGTGAACTATCTAAACACTCAAGAGTCCTCTACCTCACTGAGCTGTAGTTATCAGCCTCTCAGTCTGACTGGAGAGGACTCTCCCTCCACATTATTGTAGAAACATCTTCTTCTTACATCCGTTAGAGCAGCTAGCAGATTCTAATAACAACAGCGCCGGTACCGGTGCACCCTCCCTCTCTCCCACGCTCATTTTGGCTGTGAGCTGCGGGCGCCAGATAAGCCAACATCCCCATTTTCATCACTTACAGCGCCCATCGTACAGGGCAAATGAAACGTGTAACCGGGATGAAAAGGGTGTTACATTTACTTAATTATGAATATTGTTACATCAAGGCCGAAAATTAGGATGAGACCCAACGGTCAAAAAATTATTTTTCCCTCCCAGAGCTGCCAGCGCAACGCCAGTGCTACGGGCCGACCCTGAGTTCATATCATAGGTTCATATGCAACTCGCAAATATCTTTCTCTCTCTCTCCTCTCTTTTCTCTTCTCCCTCTTCTCTCTTTTCTCTCTCTCCCTCTCTCTCTCAATGTTGGTACGCCAACAATGCGCCTTTTTTCAAATGACCCGGTGCTCTTTTTTTGGTGGAGGTGCGCATGCGCACCTGCGCACCAGTTATGTGCAGCCCTGAGTATAGCATCTAAAAAATATGAGAAAATTAACCCAAGAAATATATGAAAAGATAATTGAGGACATTTCAATTTTGACATTTTTGTAAAATATCTAAAAAAAAATTATCCAGAACATTCTGAAAATATGAGATTATTCTCTCTCTCACCTCCTCCACCTGTTTCTCCTCCAGAGACACCATCTTCAGCAGCTCCTCCTCTTCCGACGGCAGGTTCTCCTCCTTGATGACAATGGGAGGAGGAGGAGGAGGACGGACAGAAGAAGGTGAAAGAGGAAGAGGACGGGCAGAAGATGGAGGAAGAGGAGCGACGGAGAGAGGAGAAGCCGTCATGGCCGCCTGATGCTGAATTTGCTGTGTGGGAGGGGGTTTGATGATGACAAAAACAGGCTGATGATTCGGGTGAGGAGCAGATTGGGGGTGAGGAGGGTAGCTGGCATTATTGGTGATTCCCTGACACTCTTCCTGCATCTGAGGAGCCATGGATATGTGAGGGGGGGGCACAGGACTGGACCCTCCGATGGGGATAATGGGGGTGAGAGAGGAAGGATCCCCAACACTGGTGAGATAAATCTGGGGAGGGTCGTTTAGAGCGGGAGGCAGAGGAATCTGGGGAAAAAAGAGACGAGGGGTTTTGAATACAGAGGATGGAAGGATGAGTGCAACAAGTAGTGGTTAAGGACCAGTTTGTTACTGGGACAAAGAGAGTGGAGCAGGGAGGATTATTGACCATGACTATTGGATTGCAGAAAATAAACTCCATGGTAAACAAACATTTATTAACACATCTTTATATCATTTTTGAAGTGCAAGCGCAATCTCCAGAAATAAAAATCTAATGTTGGACTATAAAGGAACTACAGCACGGTCACATGACTTCACGTCACCACCGCTAAGCTAAAGGCGGCTAATGTTGGGCTATAAAGGAACTACAGCACGGTCCCATGACTTCACGTCACCACCGCTAAGCTAAAGGTGGCTAATGTTGGGCTATAAAGAAACTACAGCACGGTCACATGACTTCACGTCAACACCGCAAAGCTAAAGGCGGCTAATGTTGGGCTATAAAGAAACTACAGCACGGTCACATGACTTCACGTCACCACCGCTAAGCTAAAGGTGGCTAATGTTGGGCTATAAAGGAACTACAGCACGGTCACATGACTTCAAGTCACCACCGCTAAGCTAAAGGTGGCTAATGTTGGGCTATAAAGGAACTACAGCACGGTAACATGACTTCACGTCACCACCGCTAAGCTAAAGGTGGCTAATGTTGGCTATAAAGGAACTACAGCACGCTCACATGACTTCACGTCACCACCGCTAAGCTAAAGGTGGCTAATGTTGGGCTATAAAGGAACTACAGCACGGTCACATGACTTCACGTCACCACCGCTAAGCTAAAGGTGGCTAATGTTGGGCTATAAAGGAACTACAGCACGGTCACATGACTTCACGTCACCACCGCTAAGCTAAAGGAGGCTAATGTTGGGCTATAAAGGAACTACAGCACTGTCACATGACTTCATGTCAACACCGCTAAGCTAAAAGTGGCTAATGTTGAGCTATAAAGGAACTACAGCACGGTCACATGACTTCACGTCACCACCGCTAAGCTAAAGGCGGCGAATGTTGGGCTATAAAGGAACTACAGCACGGTCACATGACTTCACGTCACCACCGCTAAGCTAAAGGCGGCTAATGTTGGGCTATAAAGGAACTACAGCACGGTCACATGACTTCACGTCACCACCGCTAAGCTAAAGGAGGCTAATGTTGGGCTATAAAGGAACTACAACACTGTCACATGACTTCACGTCAACACCGCTAAGCTAAAGGTGGCTAATGTTGAGCTATAAAGGAACTACAGCACGGTCACATGACTTCACGTCACCACCGCTAAGCTAAAGGCGGCGAATGTTGGGCTATAAAGGAACTACAGCACGGTCACATGACTTCACGTCACCACCGCTAAGCTAAAGGTGGCTAATGTTGGGCATGATGGCGTTTAGTCGTCTCATGTAGACACTTGTTAGCAACCGCCTGTTTTTAAATTCACCAGTGGGGGATTTACCGACATATTTGATGTCGTAGAACAAAATGTTAAATGCTCTCCTGTTTTAACCAAATAAATGTTTTTAGCATCCGAGGACATTGACTTTAGCTCGGTGCTGACCTGTGATTGGCTGGTGGCGTTTGTGGGTATCTGCGGGCTGAGAGCCGGAGTGGCACACGGAGACGGCTGAGTGACGATCACCTGCAGAGCCGAGTCCATCGAACCTCCTACTGACGGAGGAGACTCTGATATCACACAGACCTGAGGAGGAGGAGGAGGAGGAGGAGGAGGAGGAGGAGGAGGAGGAGGAGGAGGAGGAGGAGGAGGAGGAGGAGGAGGAGGAGGAGGAGGAGGAGGAGGAGGAGGAGGAGGAGGGATTGAGAGAGGAGGTTAAGCATCAGTTTGCACGTACTACTTTAAAGCAGATGAGTGTCCCTTGGCATAAAGATTGAATGATTTAAAGGGCTGTAAGAACATTTGTATGTTTAAGAAAATGTATAAAGAAAGCGTAATTAGACGGTATGAAGTTTACTTTTGATTGTGTTCTGGTTTTATGTTTCAGCAACTGTTCATTTATTTTATTTTAATCGTTTATTTGCACATTAATGAACACTTAAAACAATAAATGTGCCAAGCGTAATTTAGCTTTGAGCTACTTTCCATCCGCAGTCCCTCACATAAAACATTAAGAAAATGACATTTGCAAACATAGCAGATACAAATACAAGAAAAGTGCAAAAGAGACTGTGACTGAAATATTGCTTTTATTTTATTATGGTTATTTCATTTTATTTATTTTCAAGAAGGGGCTGGTAAAATAAGATGTTCTTCTCCCTGCTCCTTTCCACCATGCACTATAAAAACCAGTATAAGTGTACATGTTTTGTTTTAAAATAACTGCCATGTAAAAGGAATAAACAAATAAAAGCTGTATTATTATTATTATGGTACTCGCCAGTATATAGTAAGTAATTCAGAATAACTTCACCTCTACCAGCGGCAACATTAAAGTAATAAACACAACAAAGGATCGATAAATAAAATACAATCCTTTTGTATTCATTATTATGCATAGAGAGTAATTTTACTTTTGGTACTTATATATAGTATACTTTTGGGTTATACTTTCCTTCATGTAAAGTTCTCAGTACTACAGCATGAAAAATCACAGTGAAATACAAATGCTGGTTCAGCGATAGCTTCATGCATCAGAATGATATCAGAAAAACACATGAACGCAGCAGAACATTGCAGATAGCTGCACGAGTTCATTTCTGGTCGATTATCAAAACACTTAAAGCTCCCATGTCATGCTTTTCCGGTTATTACCCGTCCCCTTGTGTTATGAAGGTTGTTCTGCATGTAAACGGTCTGCAGAGTCACAAACCCTCAAAGTAAACCCTGTAGAGAGTAAAACTCTAACACAGAGAAGACCTGTCTGCTGCCCCAGAACGCCTCGTTGGACATTTCTCTTTTTCCATTTGTTTCTTCAGGGAACCGCATGACGTTATGCGGAGCTCCTCACACACCAGGATCCCTTGGCGTCACTATCAAACGCAGTGGGGGGACCTTTAGCGTACATGTTCAACTAACAGGGAGTCCCATTGACTTGCATAGAGCTCCCTGAACGCTGGTAATAGACGAGTTGGGATGGCGGAGAAATGCTCTCTGCAGACCCATTCTCACAGCGTTACAAACCTCTTTCTTTCTCAGTATCAAGCCACACTTATTGTTTTTACTTCAGCTGTGAGTGTGTGTGTGCTCAGGATGAGTTTTAGCGCTGTCTTGCTGTATCGCAGACCCGGACACCACACCAGTAAGCCAGCTCACTGAGCAACGAGCCTCGCAACGTCCCGACCAATCAGAGCACACTGGGCGGAGGGGGGCGGAGCTCCAACAAGCCGTGTAGGACAGAGAGTGAATACACATGCTATACAGAGATGCTGTATAGTAATTTAAATCTATTTTAGTAGACCTCAACAATGGAATTATGATCAGTAGAAATGGCCATGACATGGGACCTTTACATTTCAATTTCGAATACCATCCTTAACGCGGCATGAATTCAATCAGAAATATTGTTTAACTGCATCTCTCACCTCTCTTAGATCGAACATGGCGGCGGCGTCGTGTTGTATCAGCAGCTCTGTTTTGATTGGCTGTGGGTTGTGCGAGGCCTGCAGTGATTGGATGGTGAAGGTGGAGTAGAGGCCGGACTTCATGTAGTCGTTACGGGAACTTTTCTGAGAGCCGCCGGGTGACGAGCGCTGGGGATCAATAATCAGTCAGACACTAAATACATTTATAATAATAATACACTTTATTTATAGAGCACCTTTCATGCTTGACGCAGACCAAAGTGCTTTACAGAATATGACAAAAGGTCACAATCAAATTAAAATATGTAAAAACAAGAAAACATTAAAACATGAACAGTGATACTACACAAATTACAAGCCAAATTAAAAAGATAGGTCTTTAATTTACTTTTTAAAATTCCAATTGAGGTTGCCGTTCTAAGATCAAATGGGAGGCTGCTCCACAGTTTGGGACAATATAAAAACAGAAAGCAGCCTCTCCAGTTTTCTTGTAATGCACTCTAGGTACTTTTAAAAGTGAAACATTGGGCGCTTTCACACCGGAGTACTTTTCCCGTTTAGTTCCGATAGTTCCTGGGATTTTGCGTTCACACCAAAAAGAGAACTTAGTTCATGAGAACTTTTCCCCCCTTTTCAGTCCCTGCTAGAGAGGTGGTACTTTCCTGGGGAGAAAAAAGGTCCAATTTCTGATTGGCTGGACGAATTGCAAACCACGCCCCGTAAAACTCGGAAATGTTTTTTGTATTTGCTGGCATTAGCATTATTAGCATTAGCATTAGCCCCGCGCACCAACGGAGAGAGAATAACTTGGAGTGATGGAGTGATGAGAAGGTGTAGAAGCTGCTGGGAGTCCCAGCAGCTTCTACTGAAGCCGGTCCCCGACTTCGGGTGGCAGTATACGCCGTGAAGTTTTTTGCAGCCTTCCAGTAAACCCAAAGCAGAAGTGACGTCAGCGGCATCATTTGTGTAATCCTCCCTCAGGGACTTATTCCAGTGTGAACGCGATCGGCTCTTAGTTCCATGGGGGTACTAAGTGCTGGGAACTAAGTATGGCAAAGTACTTGGCGTGAAAGCGGCTATTGGAGGATCTAATGCCCCTTTCACACCAACGCGGTTCCCGTTCTAGCTCCGTGCTAGAGCTCTTCTGGTTCGGAACCGTTTTTTCTTTTCAGCCCCCGTTTTGTTCACACCGCCCAGAGCCCGAGTGGTGCTGCGTCATTGCGTCATCGTTTGCGTCATGACGTAACCGTTTACATGCCTGCTTCATAAAGCCAAACCGCGCGGAAACCCCTCACATCAAAAACAACAATGGCCGATTGTATTGAAGCGCTGCTCGTAGCTTTTGCTCTGTCAAAACCGAATGGAAATAATAGGACGACTTCACCACAAACTTCCCATTCGTCACAAGCGACTTTCAAATGTTCTTTGACAGAGTCTAGCAAGTCATAATGTGGACTTGTTTTCGGACGACCGCTGTCACTCCGTCCGAGGTCTCGCTTTTGGTCCCGATAATCCTTCTTAACTTTTTTCTGTTTGTTGCAAATCTGGTCCAACAGTTTACGTTTGGGGTTTTCCATCGTTGTGTACAAATAGGACAAAACGTGGGCTTTTTGTTGTTGTTCAGGAGGTTGATCCCGATCCTCCCCCTGCCCCTGCCTCCGACGTAAGTGGGACGTATACGGTTCTTGCTTCTAGACCGACCATTTTTTGGAGGTTGGTAAGAACCAGTTTTCGGGGTAAAGAGCCGGCTCCGCTGCGGTGTGAACAGGAAAAAATTGTGTTTATCAGGCTCTAGCTCCGAACCGGCCCTGGAACCGCGTTGGTGTGAAAGGGGCATAAGTGTCCTTGCTGGTTGATAAAATGAGAGACAGTCACTTAAATATGTTGGGGCAAGGTTATGTGTATGTGATGATATCACTATGCAGAAATACACAAAGAGGAAGGAAGTCAAAGTGTACCTGGGGTAAGCTCTTTGACGGACAGGTGGAGGTCCCGCCCTCGAGGCCTATTGATTGGCTGTTAGGGTCGGAGATGTCCCTCATCTGGCCTTCCTCTCCGTTACGAAGCCCTTCAGCCAGGGAGGGGTCGGGCTGACTCACAAACTTATAGACAAACTTCTGACCGCTTACCTTCTTTATGATATTCTGAAATAAGCATAAATAAATACACAACTGTAAGAAAAGGCACTAAAGGAGAATCCATTTTCTTTTGCAGTAAAAGGGGTATTATTACTGCAGGAAAGGAGGTATTTTTTTGTGTGTCCACATTACAAATAAACAATGGACCTAGATTTTCTGAAACCTTGTTAAAGGGTGTAGCAGGGGCCAAGGAAGAACCCATTACATTTGGGATCCGATTTACAGGTAAACACACAAATTACGTGTCACTTTTCTTAAACATTGTAGGATAGGGCATTTGTGCTACATTCGTGGGGTGTTGAAAAAAAATCGGAAGAATGTGTTCACGTGAACCCTTATTATTTCTTACATTTTAACATGGTTTCAACGCTTGGAGCAATAAAATACAACACATATTCTTTGTGGTGTCCATGTTGTTTCCACATTACGACTTAATGCTCATGACTTCCCCACTCAGTATATAGGAACGTCTGAGGAACACTTGAATGCACCTTTGGAGGTCAGTGCTCGCCAAGAACCATTATAGTTATATGATAAGCATTACCTATGACCAATTATACTCAAAATCTGGAACAAAACTGGAACACAACAGAAGAAAATCATATATTATCAGTAGTATTAACCTTGTCGTAGTAGTATCTCAGCGCTCGGCTCAGCTTGTCGTAAGTCATGTTATTTTTGTTCTTGCGGAGACCCCAGAGTCGCGCCACCTCCTCGGAGTCCAGCAGCTTGAACTCTCCGTCCTCACTTGTCCAGGAGATCAGGTGACGCTGCCGCTGGTCCTCCAGCAGGTGGAGCAGGAACTGCCACAGCGTAATGGACGGGTCCATCGCTGAGGGACACACAGAGTTTCAAAATCAAAGTCAACTTTATTGTCAATCTTTCAGTTTGGGTCCAAGGCTAAAATCCCTGGGAGTTTCTCTCCTACACATTCCCCCCAACTTGAAACGCCTCCATTAGACTCCTTTATTTTCTTTCAGGAACATAATGTCATCACTATGTAACTTAAACTTCTATTGGCTAGAGCTCCAACGCATTGTACGTGATAGGCTAAGGGGCGGGACTTCTCTAAGCTGTTGACTTTAAAGTAGAGACACTACATACTGATATACACCTGAACATCAGCAGGAGAGGACTCTTTAAAGTAGAGACACTACATAATGATATACACCTGAACATCAGCAGGAGAGGACTCTTTAAAGTAGAGACACTACATACTGATATACACCTGAACATCAGCAGGAGAGGACTCTTTAAAGTAGAGACACTACATACTGATATACACCTGAACATCAGCAGGAGAGGACTCTTTAAAGTAGAGACACTACATACTGATATGCACCTGAACATCAGCAGGAGAGGACTCTTTAAAGTAGAGACACTACATACTGATATACACCTGAACATCAGCAGGAGAGGACTCTTTAAAGTAGAGACACTACATACTGATATACACCTGAACATCAGCAGGAGAGGACTCTTTAAAGTAGAGACACTACATACTGATATACACCTTAACATCAGCAGGAGAGGACTCTTTAAAGTAGAGACACTACATACTGATATACACCTGAAGATCAGCAGGAGAGGACTCTTTAAAGTAGAGACACTACATACTGATATACACCTGAACATCAGCAGGAGAGGACTCTTTAAAGTAGAGACACTACATACTGATATACACCTGAACATCAGCAGGAGAGGACTCTTTAAAGTAGAGACCCTACATACTGATATACACCTGAAGATCAGCAGGAGAGGACTCTTTAAAGTAGAGACACTACATACTGATATACACCTGAACATCAGCAGGAGAGGACTCTTTAAAGTAGAGAAACTACATACTGATATACACCTGAACATCAGCAGGAGAGGACTCTTTAAAGTAGAGACACTACCTACTGATATACACCTGAACATCAGCAGGAGAGGACTCTTTAAAGTAGAGGCACTACATACTGATATACACCTGAACATCAGCAGGAGAGGACTCTTTAAAGTAGAGACACTATACTGATATACACCTGAACATCAGCAGGAGAGGACTCTTTAAAGTAGAGACACTACATACTGATATACACCTGAACATCAGCAGGAGAGGACTCTTTAAAGTAGAGACACTACATACTGATATACACCTGAACATCAGCAGGAGAGGACTCTTTAAAGTAGAGACACTACATACTGATATACACCTGAACATCAGCAGGAGAGGACTCTTTAAAGTAGAGACACTACATACTGATATACACCTGAAGATCAGCAGGAGAGGACTCTTTAAAGTAGAGACACTACATACTGATATACACCTGAACATCAGCAGGAGAGGACTCTTTAAAGTAGAGACACTACATACTGATATACACCTGAACATCAGCAGGAGAGGACTCTTTAAAGTAGAGACACTACATACTGATATACACCTGAACATCAGCAGGAGAGGACTCTTTAAAGTAGAGACACTACATACTGATATACACCTGAACATCATCAGGAGAGGACTCTTTAAAGTAGAGACACTACATACTGATATACACCTGAACATCAGCAGGAGAGGACTCTTTAAAGTAGAGACACTACATACTGATATACACCTGAACATCAGCAGGAGAGGACTCTTTAAAGTAGAGACACTACATACTGATATACACCTGAACATCAGCAGGAGAGGACTCTTTAAAGTAGAGACACTACATACTGATATACACCTGAACATCAGCAGGAGAGGACTCTTTAAAGTAGAGACACTACATACTGATATACGCCTGAACATCAGCAGGAGAGGACTCTTTAAAGTAGAGACACTACATACTGATATACACCTGAACATCAGCAGGAGAGGACTCTTTAAAGTAGAGACACTACATACTGATATGCACCTGAACATCAGCAGGAGACGACTCTTTAAAGTAGAGACACTACATACTGATATACACCTGAACATCAGCAGGAGAGGACTCTTTAAAGTAGAGACACTACATACTGATATACACCTGAACATCAGCAGGAGAGGACTCTTTAAAGTAGAGACACTACATACTGATATACACCTGAACATCAGCAGGAGAGGACTCTTTAAAGTAGAGACACTACATACTGATATACACCTGAACATCAGCAGGAGAGGACTCTTTAAAGTAGAGACACTACATACTGATATACACCTGAACATCAGCAGGAGAGGACTCTTTAAAGTAGAGACACTACATACTGATATACACCTGAACATCAGCAGGAGAGGACTCTTTAAAGTAGAGACACTACATACTGATATACACCTGAAGATCAGCAGGAGAGGACTCTTTAAAGTAGAGACACTACATACTGATATACACCTGAACATCATCAGGAGAGGACTCTTTAAAGTAGAGACACTACATACTGATATACACCTGAACATCAGCAGGAGAGGACTCTTTAAAGTAGAGACACTACATACTGATATACACCTGAACATCAGCAGGAGAGGACTCTTTAAAGTAGAGACACTACATACTGATATACACCTGAACATCATCAGGAGAGGACTCTTTAAAGTAGAGACACTACATACTGATATACACCTGAACATCAGCAGGAGAGGACTCTTTAAAGTAGAGACACTACATACTGATATACACCTGAACATCAGCAGGAGAGGACTCTTTAAAGTAGAGAAACTACATACTGATATACACCTGAACATCAGCAGGAGAGGACTCTTTAAAGTAGAGACACTACATACTGATATACACCTGAACATCAGCAGGAGAGGACTCTTTAAAGTAGAGACACTACATACTGATATACGCCTGAACATCAGCAGGAGAGGACTCTTTAAAGTAGAGACACTACATACTGATATACACCTGAACATCAGCAGGAGAGGACTCTTTAAAGTAGAGACACTACATACTGATATACACCTGAACATCAGCAGGAGAGGACTCTTTAAAGTAGAGACACTATACTGATATACACCTGAACATCAGCAGGAGAGGACTCTTTAAAGTAGAGACACTACATACTGATATACACCTGAACATCAGCAGGAGAGGACTCTTTAAAGTAGAGACACTACATACTGATATACACCTGAACATCAGCAGGAGAGGACTCTTTAAAGTAGAGACACTACATACTGATATACACCTGAACATCAGCAGGAGAGGACTCTTTAAAGTAGAGACACTACATACTGATATACACCTGAAGATCAGCAGGAGAGGACTCTTTAAAGTAGAGACACTACATACTGATATACACCTGAACATCAGCAGGAGAGGACTCTTTAAAGTAGAGACACTACATACTGATATACACCTGAACATCAGCAGGAGAGGACTCTTTAAAGTAGAGACACTACATACTGATATACACCTGAACATCAGCAGGAGAGGACTCTTTAAAGTAGAGACACTACATACTGATATACACCTGAACATCATCAGGAGAGGACTCTTTAAAGTAGAGACACTACATACTGATATACACCTGAACATCAGCAGGAGAGGACTCTTTAAAGTAGATACACTACATACTGATATACACCTGAACATCAGCAGGAGAGGACTCTTTAAAGTAGAGACACTACATACTGATATACACCTGAACATCAGCAGGAGAGGACTCTTTAAAGTAGAGACACTACATACTGTATACACCTGAACATCAGCAGGAGAGGACTCTTTAAAGTAGAGACACTACATACTGATATACACCTGAACATCAGCAGGAGAGGACTCTTTAAAGTAGAGACACTACATACTGATATACACCTGAACATCAGCAGGAGAGGACTCTTTAAAGTAGAGACACTACATACTGATATACACCTGAACATCAGCAGGAGAGGACTCTTTAAAGTAGAGACAACTACATACTGATATACACCTGAACATCAGCAGGAGAGGACTCTTTTAAAGTAGAGACACTACATACTGATATACACCTGAACATCAGCAGGAGAGGACTCTTTAAAGTAGAGACACTACATACTGATATACACCTGAACATCAGCAGGAGAGGACTCTTTAAAGTAGAGACACTACATACTGATATACACCTGAACATCAGCAGGAGAGGACTCTTTAAAGTAGAGACACTACATACTGATATACACCTGAACATCAGCAGGAGAGGACTCTTTAAAGTAGAGACACTACATACTGATATACACCTGAACATCAGCAGGAGAGGACTCTTTAAAGTAGAGACACTACATACTGATATACACCTGAACATCAGCAGGAGAGGACTCTTTAAAGTAGAGACACTACATACTGATATACACCTGAAGATCAGCAGGAGAGGACTCTTTAAAGTAGAGACACTACATACTGATATACACCTGAACATCATCAGGAGAGGACTCTTTAAAGTAGAGACACTACATACTGATATACACCTGAACATCAGCAGGAGAGGACTCTTTAAAGTAGAGACACTACATACTGATATACACCTGAACATCAGCAGGAGAGGACTCTTTAAAGTAGAGACACTACATACTGATATACACCTGAACATCATCAGGAGAGGACTCTTTAAAGTAGAGACACTACATACTGATATACACCTGAACATCAGCAGGAGAGGACTCTTTAAAGTAGAGACACTACATACTGATATACACCTGAACATCAGCAGGAGAGGACTCTTTAAAGTAGAGAAACTACATACTGATATACACCTGAACATCAGCAGGAGAGGACTCTTTAAAGTAGAGACACTACATACTGATATACACCTGAACATCAGCAGGAGAGGACTCTTTAAAGTAGAGACACTACATACTGATATACGCCTGAACATCAGCAGGAGAGGACTCTTTAAAGTAGAGACACTACATAC